AAAAAGAAAAAAGAAAAAAAAAGTTAACTATTGTTGATTTTTCAGTATCCTGGATTTTTGAATAATAAGTGCAATAAAAACTGATACTTGCTGAACTTTGTTTTCATAATGTATTTGCTATATTTTTTATTTTATTTCTAACTTTCCTGCGGACTTCTCGGAGAGTTAAAATAGTTTCTAGAATAGTATAGTAGGTTATAATAGTAGAATTGGAAATGTTTTTGCTTGTGCCCTTATTCTCAATATTTCCTTCTTTTGATAAATCATATTTTTAAACAACATAAATATCAATTTTGACTTAGTAAGGTTGGTTCTTTTTGTTTGTTTAGAAATTCTAGTAGCAATTGGTATGTCCAAAATATAGATTTCCCCACTAGATAGACCTGAGTGGGTTTTAACTTTTTGTTTTGTATGTGTATGTGTAGTGATGAGGACTGAACTCAGAGATTCATATATAGTAGGAAAGAATTCTACTGCAGAATGCTGCTTCTAGCCCAATCATTAGTTTTTAAAACCAGTTGAAGGGCCAGCCAAATAGCTCAGGGGATTAAAGTGACTGCAAGCAGGTGTGGGGCCAGGGGTTTGATCCCTGGCCTGTCATGCCGCACCTGCCCCCAGAGGCATGCTGAGACAGCAGTTGAGACTGGGCATGGTGGCGCATGCCTGTAATCCCAGCTCTTGGGAGGCTGTAAACAGGCAGATCACTGAGTCTGATCTAGTAGTGAGACCCTGAACACCCTGTAGATCTTTTCCAAAATAAAAAATAAATAAATAAATAAGTAAATAAACCAGTTCAAGTTAATATTATATTTTGGAAAGAGAAAATTGAAACATTATGTTTTAGGAAAAAAATTGAAACAATTCAGCTTGTTAAAACTTGTGCCTATAAAATGCTAGTGGTGCTACAAAGAGGATGAGAAGATATAATAGATGACCATTCTCTTCCATCAACTTACATTTTCTCGAGAGGATGATTTATATGCTAGCATGTGTGACTTGAACATTGTTTTATCAGTGTTTACACTTACTCAAGGTGTAAAATGTATTTAGTTCTTACATTTTACACATGTAATATTCTTCATTGCTTGCTTTTTGTTGTTGAATAAGAAGAACACAAATGTAGATCTTGTGCTGTAATATAATACTTCTTGTCAGTTATTATAAACACATTTTCAGTGAATTTATACCAGTGGTAAAATTGTACCACTTAGGCTTATCTACTACATAAAATATAGTTTCTGAGGTTTCCGCAGTATGTTTTGAAACTATCTTGGGCGTGAACAGAAAGTCTTCATTGTGTCTGAATCATCTTAATGCCTTATTAGGACTAGAATGTATAATATGATCATACACTATTTTAAGCTTTTAAAAATTGTGATCTTTTCAACAAGAAATGTGACATGGTCTAGTATGTACATGTAGATTACTGAGCATGTATTAGTATATATATATATATATATATATATATATATAATATATTATTGAAATAAAAGTTCCACAAATATTAACTTACTGTACACAGCACTCTAATATTTCATCTACTTTATTTTTTAAAATGTTGATTGAATGTACTAAATTGATTTCACAAATAAGTTGTAACCTATTAAGAAAACATTGCTTTGGGTCAGGGTTTTGAATAGCATTCTCTGAAATTCCAAAGAGGGTATAAAACTCTAAAGAAAGTATTTTCTCTATTTAGCATGTATACTATCCAGTAAACTTATTTTTTGCTGTTCTTTTTTATTTTTCATTGATATTCTGGCTAACATTACTTAAATATGAGCTAGAATCTTTAAGCAATGCTAGGAACTCACAAATCTATGTATTTACTGTTTAATTCATCATTATGCATGTGTAAATGATGTTACATGTATTTTATTTTTTAAAAAGAATCTTGTATGAAATGTGAGTTGTCTGGTTTTATGAATTTTAGGTATTTCTGTCATAAGTTGATCCAAGGCAGTGTCTTCCATTATGATGCTGCACTTATGCTTTTGTAATGTAAACTAATGTTAGTTATCTGTTCCTGTTATATTGAGTATCCATTTCTTGCTTATGTTCAAACAGTGGGAAGGATGGTAACAATTACAGTAACAAAATAATAAAAAGCATTGTTATAAGAATGCTTAATCTTTATTTTGAAAGGTTCCCTATGACTTTTGTCTTATATTGTACTGATATTGAATCACCCATCACCCACCATTACAGATTATGAACTTTATTATTTGAAAAAAATAAACATACTTTTTGTTTCTTTCTGAGATAAGGCCTCTCTGTTGTCTACAATGCACGCAAACTTTCTTTTTTCTTTTTTCTTTTTTTTTTTTTTTTTTGTAAGGGGGATCAAACTGAGGACCTTGTGCTTGCCAGGGAGGGGCTTATGCCACTCAGCTATGTCCCTTATCCTTAATGAATATTCTACACATTGTTATAACTGTATATAGTGTTAGAAATTACTGTACTTGGGTAGTTAGGACTACAATGTATACCATTGTACATGGCCCAAAGTATGTAGCTTTAAGTACACATTCAGTTGAGCAATAATTTATAACAATATATACAGTTATAACATTATACAAGAATATTCATTATGGATTGGGGAGACAGCTCAGCAGTGTAAGTGCCTGTCTGGCAAACCCAAGGTCCTGAGTTTGATCCCCGGGACCAAAACAAAGAAACAAAACAAAAATTATTTGGGCTGGGGAGATGACTCCGGTGGTCTAAGTGCCTATCTGGCAAGTAGAAAGATCTGGGATCAATCCCCAGTATTGCATGCTGTGCTGATCACCAAAACTGGGCATGGTGGTGCACGCCTGTAATCCCAGCTTTGGGGAGGCTGAGATAGGAGGATCATTGCATGTCTGAGCTGCATAGAGACCCTGTACAAAATAAATAAATGATTTTAAAAAAGAATATTCATTAAATAAATAATAGCTTTTGTGATTATTATTATTATTATTATTATTATTATTTGCGTTTAAAGTAACACTAGATTTTTAATTGTGAATGTTACCCCCTTCTCTTTTTTGTATTGTGGACTTTGGAAACACCAGCAACTTTCACCTTTTTCTCAAATCCAGTACAGTACTCTCAAGGATAAATCATCAAGAATTTCATCATTAGTATGTTGTGCATGACTTTTTGTTGACTTGAGTTTTACTGTATTGATACCTGACAATACTAATCATAGATTATGACTTTCATGTTTTTTGTGACTAACAATTGTGACATAATTTATCAATAATAAATTCTTCCTTTAGAATTTCAGCTTTAGCTAAAATGATTTGCTTCCTTATATGAGATTGATAGTAATTTCCTTCCCCAGTTCCTTCTTCACCTTCCTCCCTCTTTCTTCAGCTTTCCTTCCCTCCCTTCTGTGTGTACTGAGGACTAAACCCAGGGGAACACTTCAGGCATGCTAGACAAGTGTTCTGCCATTGAGCTACACCCCCATTTTTTTTTTATTTTTTTTTTTTTTTTTTGGTTTTTCTGGAGCGAGTTCTTGCTAAATTGCTCAGGCTGGTTTTGCATTTTCTACCCTTCTGCCTCAGTTTCCAGAGTAGCTGGAATTG